TAAATATAAAAACATCGTAGTAGAAGAGCCGAAGCATCCTTTGTGCTAAACAAAACATCCAGTTTTTACGTCACCACAAAGACGGTTAAATGTGCAGTTGTCACAAACATCATTTTGCTTGAGCTCCTAAATTCCTTTTGTGAGTTTTGTAGGTTAGAGGGGGGCATGTTATTGTTTACCTTTGGTTATTTGTCAGAAATTAGACTAGAACTTCACAATTTAGGGTTTAGGTTAAAAATGGCATATGAACTTCTTCAGATAGAATGCGTGGCATTCCTTTGAAATTATTTGATCTTTTACAGGGTTGTTAAGCCATCACATAGGGATTTTTGTATAAAGATAGCTGAGCAGCACGTTACTACTGCAACATGCAATAGCTAGCTACCGGTATAGGTTTCCGGTTAGATGATGGGTATTTAGTTCTTCAATTATGATTAAGATCTGGAAATAAAGAAACTTGTTTGCATTTTGATGTAGTTTTGCTTAATATTTTTTTTAGCTACAGTTGTCATGTTTGATTGAGTCACTCAGTGTACCATAATTTTTTGGAGGCCCTGAAGGCACTAAGGATAAACTAAACCTTGGAAACTAATTTGGGTTGTTCGATATAAAACTAACTTATCATATTCAAACACATGCAGAAAACAAAATACCAAGTCAAAGATCTGAACATGTCTTTATTAAAAAATTCAGAGTGAATAAACAAAAAAATGGACATGGATTTGTTAGCCTTGTTGTCGTTTGCCAATAGTTTTCAAATCATTACATCCACAGAGAATATCAATTATCTTTTATATCACTTCATATAGTTTGGCTAAAGTGATGGACATGCAAGAACTATCAATACTTAATGAAACTATGAACACATTTGTGACGCTAATTTAAGGAAGGATGCATCAGCCAATAAAAAACTAGCGATTGACAAGAATAGGAAACGGATGTGTTCATCGAAAAATATGTGGAACGTAAAGAATTTAAATACCAAATTATGCGATCATTCTGGCATTTACAAGATGGATAAATAAGCGAAGACATAATAGAATCTTTCAAGTTAGTTAATGGATTGGAGAAGTTCTGAGCGTTTTCTGTCGAAAACGCTCAGAACGCTCAGCTCAAAAACCTTGGTGTTTTTGATGGTTTAGATAAGATGGTAGTTATCTTTTGTGAATATCTTAAGATTAGATCATGAACGATGACTTTTACGCCTACTAATCATATGACATAGACTAGAACTTAGACTATGATTATTCCATAGTCTCAAAAGGAGACTGACTTTTTTAGAATAATTTTAAAGTAGATTGGGTCTTTCAGTCATTTTCTTCAGTGTTTGGTTTGAATTATCACTTGCTTGCTTCTGAATGGCTCCACGTTCTTCTTTCTTTCATGCACTTTGTTGACTTCACGTATCGAAGCATGACGAGTTATGAGACATCGAGGGTAAATATATATATATTGGAAAATCTTGTGATACATGTTAATTATTATAAACTAGTTATGATATCATAGGAGTTAATTCAGGTATTGATCAAATGATTTACAATCAATATCTAGTTAGTTCAACTATGATTAATAATCAGTATTCATTTATATTATATAAATATAATTTTTTGGCTAAAATTTATTCGATATGTCAATAAATAATTTTGGCTATTTAATGTATGTAGTTTTTTTACAGGCATTAGGTAATTGAGAATATATTTAGAAATGTTTATCATTGAATATAGATTTTGAAATACATGTCAGGCATGTGAGAGAGAGATAAATACAAAACAATGACTTAAAGAAGTTATTCATTTCGTTGTATTTACCCGAACGTCATCGAAAATATTATTTCCTCTGCTCTTCGGAAATTTCTACTGAATTAGATTTACAAATTACTGGAATATACGTCGAGTCACATCATAGAGATAGTGATCTGCGTAGAACTTGGTAAGCGCCACTTAATCCTTCGCTCACTAGCTCAAAAGGAAAGACACAAGTTTCCCCAGGATTTGATACTACGCCGACTATCCTGCTACTCCTCCCTCGTCCTCAATAACGCTCCAAGGAAATTTCGTTCGCTAGCTTCTTTTCATAAATGTCGATTTAATGGCAGCAGGCTTCTTTTGCTTTAGTTTAAAGTATAAGTTTGTCCCGTGGCAGAACGCCTTTTCTGGCGCTGCCCTTCACGGCCGCCCCTCCGACGTTCTATTCCTGTACACTTTCTCGATCCGCCGGCCAAGTCGTGGGCCTTCAGGCTTCCGCGACTGCCGCACGAGACCAACAAACAACTTTCCGGAAGCCGGAAAGTTGCTCCGCTCGCGGTTTCGGCAAAGCTGCCGGACGTCCGTAACTGCGTCCCCGACCCTTCGACCGATTTAATTCTATTCAGAAGGCGAGGAATTGAATTCGTATCGTGGTCGGTGTGGTGTGTGTGCGAGGAGGAGTTGCGCATTTGCGGCAGGTGCTCGATCAGCGAAAGGTCTGCCAGCGAACCCTAGCCGCAAGCTGTTGACCTGAAGTGGGAGGACTTTCCGCAGACGTGTCAGGGAAGCATACATGGAAAAGGAAGGACGGAGAAGAGTTGCGGGAAGCGCAGTAGCTGCAGAGAAACGATGAGACCGGATTGCGTCACATCATCCTTGCAAACTAACATTGATTGATTCGGCACATTGCATGAGTTGCGATTTTGAACCCTCCTTCGAGCGTTTGCGGGTCCCCTCGGGGCCCTCCACGAGGCTCGTTTCATCATTCTTCTGTCAAGTCGATGCCCGAAGCAGCTTCTGATGATTATACTCCCACGGACTCTCCACTGCAGCATCTCGAGAGTTGACATGGTGCACGGTTGCCTGCCTGCCTGCTTGTGACGAATGATCTTGTCTGCACTTAATTAACCTTATTGTACCATCCCAGGTCCAAGGTTCCCGGCCTGGTCGTCCCTTCCCACGAGAGAATTCGGAAAGGAAATCAAATTCGTCCAATTGTCCAAACCTCGACTCGATTTATTCCCACTTCCATTTGCAAATGACTTTTTGGCATATACATGGTGCGCGAGAACTCGACTTATCTAGACGATGTTCAGGTACGAAAACAAATGATGATCCTCGTAGACTGTATTAGACTATATTGACACCAATTGGCAAATCGGACGCAGAAGTATTCAGTCGTCATGTCTAACGTAAAAAAGAAGAGCTTGAAGAAATCAGAACGCTCTTGGGATCGGTGATTGAACTGCGGTAGACTTCCGCTCAGAGTCCAGGCCCGTCCATGGTGAGCATCCGAACTCGACTCACCGCAGTGGAAACGAAGACTCACTACATTTGTGTGCTCATGAAGGACAAATGGGATGGTCCAAAGTGGAACGGCAAGTACGCCAAAAAAGCAAATTTGGAAGGAGTGTCACAGTTCGTAGCTCTGCTTTATCTTCATATCGACAAGTGACTCATGATCTCGGAGCCATGGGACCACGGTGACGTAAGATCAGAGGATATCCTGTTTGCAGAAGGGGAAATCTTCCTGAATAGACGAGACAGAGCTTCGAGATTTATTACTGTCTTCTTACCTTCAAGAATATCTGAGGGTGCTTCCGATCTTCACCCTCTGGTGAGTAGATGTCATCCAATTCACTACGTTTTGGAGCACAAGCTGTACCCTGAATGTGGAGATCGTGTTACCGGCAGCTCAAAAATAGATATCAACTCTTTATGATTGGAAGAGAAAGTATTTTCAAATCGCAGAAATATCAACCGACTATGAGCCCGTACCCGTACCTTCACAGCGGGTAACTTATTTGTTACATGAGGGTGGATGAATTTCGACGGGAAAGGTTGGGATACATGAATCTTTGATGACGGGTATGCGGGAAGGGGTATCCAAGATAAGGGAGGAGCTGCAGAAATATCTTCTTGGGGTCTGATTTACCCTAAGAAACAAGAATTATCTCTGTCGCCAAACATTCCATTAATATCGTTGCGTAGACCGCTTTCTTGATCGTAGACGCACTGATTCGAATCGTATATACGATTTGGTTTGCAAAATGTCAAAGTTTGATTGCCATACGAGTCAGATTCCATTCGAAAAGGAGTCCCGCCAGGATTTGCTCGCTCGGCTTTTGCAGGACTCTCAGAACTATGTGCATGACATGACGAAGAAGAAGAAGAAGAAGAGGAAGGTGGGTTTCACTCCTCATAATGCAACTAGGCTTTTACTCTACGTCTGCGCGCTCGCTCGCTCATCTGCACGAGCGTAGACTCCATCCTCCTTCTCCTCCTCCCTCCCAAACAGCAGCAACGCTTTTCCACTTTCCATACTCTTCTATGATCTAACCCATTTTTACAGCAGGGAGCCAATGTCTGACCCAGAACGTCAAGCAGCAACACGCGTCGTACGTGCTGGCGTGGAACCATGCGACAATGTTGCCTGTAGTTTTTTCCTCGCTTTAGTGGCGCCATGGGACGCACTTCCTGACCATTGGCCTCCAGGTTGAGCTTTGCATGTTGGTCTTGGCGTTCGGGGGTGCATGGCGTCCGTATCGACCAGGTCTCGATTCCAGATAAAGTCCATCCGTCCTCTCAGCGTGACCGTAGGATAGAATATGGGTGAACCTGATCAGACCTACCGTTCCCCTTGCAGATTCCAGTCTTCAGCCCTCGACGATCCCTTGAGCATGAAGGCGATCAGTCTTTGCCCCTGGCATGGCCCCCGCGGCCCGCTATCCCCTCTCAGCTCGCTCCTCGAGACCCCCGATCCAAACTTTGAGCTAGTTGAGATGGGGAGGGGTCACAAAGACGGTTACAAATCTTGTGGCCACTTAGGGTTTCGTGAAGGTGAAAGCAACCCCCGTCGTTCTTTGTTGTCATACTCGTTATATATATAAATAAATAAATAACTAAATATGATTAACAGTACTCTGCTCTCTGTCATGATTTTATCATGTGCCTGTCATTGGGTTCCGAACTCACAGGTGTGCGAAAAAGGCCACGTTCATTGATTCATGTGTTCATGATTAGAGAGGTTGATTTAAGTTTTGCAACAGATGGAAACAGAAGATTTGTGTAGCTTTTAGAAGAAGATTTGTGTAGCTTTTAGAAGGGCACGAAGAATGTCTGCAAGTTTTACAAACTGACATTCAGTTGACAGTGGAGGCATGGTTCTAGGTATCGAAAGCTCAAAAGCATATGAAGATGCTATGAGCCCACTGAATGTAAGCACTAGTGGTATGGAACAGTTGACAGGTAAGATCGAAGCTATACGTTGACGGCAACATCTAGAACTACGAGAAGGAGAAACTCTTGTCACCATGATGCCCCTTTTGATAAATGTTCCAATTCTTTGGTAGTGCTTTGTCTTCCCAGAGCTTCATTTCTCGAAGGGTACCTTCCAAATACCTCCAATACTGCGCGGTGCTTTTCCTGCAAAACCAAGAGTTCAGATGAGTTTCTCTAAACAGATACAAAGACGACATTATCTCGATAAAAACCTTCAGGCAACTGAATTTGCAGGCTATACAAGACACCATCGAGTCCCAGCTGTTCTGGAGTACTATAGCTTCAGCAAGTGACAGTTCTCTACGTTTACACTGCTTCATATTTAATGGACCAGGAGGAAACATGGCTGAACAAGATGGTTGTAGTACAGGAGGAGAGAAGGCAGAAGCCGAACATGTCATCGCGTCCCTTATTCAAGGAGGCATACCACCTGACGTTGTTCCTCCTCCCTGTCATCCAGCTAAAACAGGTGGACTCAATATGCAATTTGACGACATGGCTAAGGTCAGCCGTAAGGAGACGATGTGGTATATAATATGCCTTGCAGTAAGCTCTATTCATGCAACGAAATTCTCATGTTTCGTTGCTTTGGACAAAGGTTTTTGAGTTGTAAGAATCTGTAAAAGAGTCTGGATAAATGACACGCCAATCGATTGGAAGCATATTCTGTATCATCTCTCAAAACTCGAACCTTTGTGAATCATTAAGTGCGAAGAATCACCTCAAACTCCAGCGTATTCAGAAGGTATTTGTGAAGATGTTCGTTATCACTATACTGATCGGCGAGTCCCTTGAAAACAGTGGCTGCTATGTCGTGGTCTCGAAGATTTTCAGAATGCATGAGAGGCATATACAAAAACGTTCTCTCCGTGGGATTTAACTTTGCATCCAGACCCTGTTAAAAAATCAGAAATCTCATTAGAATTGTAATTTTTTTGTCGTTCATGATCACTCGTCTAAGATCATTCATGTTGGAGATTCAAGGACAAACCTCTAAACGCCAGAGTTGACTGACACGAGTAATTATCAGCTCACATGACACCTCCATGACCTTGGTTCTTCAACATACTGATATATGAATTATGAAGTGGCTGAACTTAAAGTTAAGAAATTTTTCTTGATCTCTGTATCAGCTTGAGGTGCAAATATCTTAGTGTACATGTTGCAGAGATTGGCATCCATATGATTAAAAATTTGGGCTGCATATACAGTAAGACCTAAAGCATGTGTAGATTTCGCAGTTATATTATACGCCAGTTTGAAACTGACATCAAGTTTCTCATGTATATGTGTGAGGCTAACTCATTAACATGACAATTACTGAGACAAAAGACTGAGTTTCAGCAACCTATTAGAGGCTCAATATGATACTATATTCAAATAACAATAAGATTACTCTGTCAAGGAAAGTATGGGGTTCGAGCTAAGCACCTACAAAAATGTGAGAAAAGCACTAGGATTATCATTCAGGGTAAAATCTTCCATCTTTAGCTCCAGTTTGAACAATAGCTGGTTGCTAGGATACGCTTAGGCATTAGTTCTTCATTAGATACCTCAAAAAGTATAATACTGAAGAAACATGGAAATATACTAAGAATACAAAATGCCGTGATTAACTCAACTCATGAGCTTCCTGGACATGTGCTTCAACTAACTTCTTGTGCAGGTAGCTTTGGCTACACATATAAACTTTCGAGTAATGAGGTGATTGTGTAAGAGTAGACTTCAATCCAGCAATTGCTGTTCGCTGACACAATTAGTTTCACATGAGGAACATAATTCTTCCATGCCCGTAGCAATTCTGACAGTTGACAGTCAACTGAATGATTGTTCATGGAGATTAGCTCAAGCGAATCCATTCTTAGTCATAAAAGTTAAGTAACATGTGTTTTTAGGACATTCAGAACTCAGAAGGATGCAGTCTGCTCAGTTGAGCTTAACATAGCGTTCCATTAACAACGTCCGAGTTTGTAAGATCTTGTGAAACTGTGACACATTCCGAGTGGGAAAAAATTGCGCATACAGTGACATGAGAGAACCTTACCTGCTCGATCGTCTCCAGAGTTATTTTCCGAGCAATCTCATCGTACGCATAAGCTTTCGGAGATTGTCGATAGATATTCCTTGGAAATTGGTCCAATACGATCACAAGGGCAAGCCTACCACGCACACTGTCTTTCCATCCATCTAGGGCCCCTTCGGCTGCTAAGTTCACACACTCGCCAAACTTCATCTTCACCTGAATAATGCACGTTACGACTTTCAGACCAAAACAAATAAAGCCTGCCTACTTACATGACTACTGTCTTAACCTCTAAGCTTATACCACTCAGACTCTTCAGCCATAAACATGGTGGAAAGCGGTGTTAAGGAAACTTTCAAGGGGAAAAAATATGTAGCACCAAATCCTAGAAGTCCTCGAAACATCCATTATTCAGAACTCCACTGGATAGAGAATATGATTCAGTGCAATTCAGAGCTATACTTAAGTTCGTCAAGTTGCCATGTATAACATATTCAATAGATGGATTGAAAAATCTCTAGTAGATGAACCACAAATAAGGTTGATGGACAGAGTAAGAAGTCAGTCATAAGCTTCTTTACATAAGAAGCTCTGAATAGTCGGTAATGCGAAATGGTGTCAGGCCCGAAGGTTGACTGACTTTCATATACAGGACTCGGTTGAGGTAGTTTGTAATATTCTCCCTCGTCAGATTGCTGATCCGAAGGGTCGACATGTTTCAAAGAAGAACACCAGCGCGAAGTGCAGTGACTAGCATCGACTAGCATCCAGTGCTCCCAGTCTAACGCCTTAAAGCCTGAAGAAGTCGGCTCGCACCACAGAGCAGGAAATTTAGACTCCACTAACAACAGAGGTTCTGGAAGAGGCTTAATGGTAAGTGGTCAATTCTTGATTTTCCTCGGAACATGTCAAAAGGATTGTTCTTTCACGCCAGAGATTCCCTGCCATGTACTCATCGTCCATGTAAGGACTGAGAAGAGGTCCATGAGGTCCAAATAGAACATCTCATCCTATGATTCGAAGAGACAGAGTGAGGGTCCAAGATTACCTCTCGGTCGAAATCAGGACCACCCATGAACCAACTCTTACTCGCAAACACATTCTTTTCCGCATCTACGTCTCTGTGCCTGGAAAACGCTAACACCAGTTGTTGAATCATGAAACCATCCAGTATCATCAAATTCGCAAGCACACGCGTTGAATCATCTCTTCCACCAGGCAAGATGAGATCGGATCCTCAAAGCTAGATTTATGTACTCCTCTATTGAAACTGCAAAGACATCAGAAGCTCTCTTCCAACTGACCCATATGAAGAAGCCGAGTATAATACAGAGGAGGGATATAAGCGAAGACTCATGAGCGTTAAGTACGAAACGAGGAGTTTGGAATGCTTCTAGGACTTCTGATGGGCTAGCTAGTCTCGAGGAGATGGCTTTGGAGTGCAGTCAGATGTTGACAGGAAGCCAGACTCATCAGCATTGAGTGAACTGAAACGCTCGATAATTAATTGCCTCGTGAGTAACGAACAAGGGTTTACAAACCAGAACTGAAGCACGTCTTCCAAAGTGACCGTGCAAGAGCTCAGAGATGGCCCAGAGTTGCTGAAGCTGGCGGCAACCAGATGACTCCACGCAGGATTTAACCGGGAAGCACTGTCTCTGCTAGGGCTGCGCATCATTGTCAAAACTGGAGTTCCACGATCGAGAGCTTCAGTAAAGACTAACGACAGACGACTGACTCGATCACTCTGGACGACAAAATATAACTCTGCGCACTGGCCCCATTCTGCCCATCACAATCTCGTCTCCAGAGAAGAATTCAGCTCATCAGGATGAAACAGTGCAAAATCTTCCCCAGTGATGTGTTAAACTTAGTGCTTTGAAGATGAAATTTACTAAACATTTGCTGAAAGCATGGAAACACGATAGACAAACCTGGATGCAATCGTGGATGTTGACGATCAAACCGTGCAGTAAAATCCATCCTCACTTGCATCGGCGATGATGAACGCACTTTTGCCGGCTGCCCTGCAGTCGACGCATTCCCATCTCCCAGTCGCCATTCGAAGACAGAACCAATCCGCAACCTCTCCTCGAGAAACGAAAGCGAATCCATCCGCCACCTTCGTCCTGCCCTGGATGCAGACCCCATCCCTCCCTTCCTCCCTCCCTGAACTGCCAGGCAATCTGATTTCCAGCTCCAAAAGCAAACCAAAATCGTCTGCCAACACTTTCGTTCGACCAGCCACAGAGAGCGAGAGAGAGAACACTCCTCGACTAAAGCAGCCGTCGATCACTGAACTCCATCAGTCCCACCAAAACTCTCCCACTGAGCTCACTCACTGCTGCTCTACCCCGAACCAAGGCACCTGAGAACACAGCAACACCTCGTTGCTGGCTGGGTGCAGATCGTCGTCGAGGGCTCATGAACAGGCCGGCCGTGTCCATGAACATCGGGCAGCAGCGTTGACAAATTCGCGACCGCAAGTCGCAATGCGCAGTCGAGGCCGTGGCCTTCGTCTCACATCTGCCAAGTGGAACTCTGTACTCTCGGGTACAGAGCTCCCTCGCGCTGACCTCAGAAGCGTACCTCACGGGACCGGAGCCCCTTTCCACGTACGTATCCGAAGCGTACATCGCCTGAGACACATTGCCGAAAACACGACTACAGACTTCGGGAAGAAGTCCAGGGAATATTCTGAAATTCCCGATGACCGGTCGAGATTTCGGGATGGGTGTTCATGGAGACCGAAATGTAGGGTACCCTAGATGTCGGGCTGCTATAATGAAAGATTAATATGAACTCTGCTTTGCCGCAGGAAGATCGTCCTTCTCTGTCGTTGAATGACGGCAGCAGGCTCCATGGACGACGAGCAGGTCGAGGTCGAGGAGTGTGGCAATCGCATTCTTCTGTGGGCTGTTGGCATTCGGAGGCGCCATGACATGAACCGAAGTTTAGTCGGCATGGCGTCGAGCAGTTTGGTGGAATTTGGGCGGAAGGTTCCGGCGGCAGTTGGTTGGCGTGCAGATGAGGATGGTGGGATGGGTCGAGACGACGAGAGATTGTGGCATAGGGAGGCGATGGGGTTTCTTTAGGTGAGACGAGGAAGAGGGCGGCAAGCGAGAGGAGGCGGAGTACGAGAGAGTGATCGAGTGCCGTCGGTCGGAGGGAGAGAGGGGAGCCTGGAGCGGCGGGGTATGGATGTAAGACAGGTCGCCCTGGGCGTGGCTTTCGGTGCTGCGGTGGCCGTGAATGCTGCACTACAGTCGCTCCAAGATGCCGGCAGCTTCCTCATTCACAGTCCCGGTCCCAGTTCCAGAAGTCGGCCCGTGGATCTTCTGGACGCCACCACTCGCGATGCGCGTAAGCGCCCTCTGAGTTTTGTTGATGATGTGGAGGACGACGAGGACGATTTTGACGCTTTCAAGAACAACGACGAAGATGAAGCCCGTAATTGTCCCGCCCTCTCCCTCCTCTGACAGACCATCTTTTCGTGCATGAAGGTTTCTGGTTTCTCTGTCATGCAGAAGAAAACGTGCATTCTGTACATAGAGCGGAAATCTCTCTCGATGAAAGCATTTGCCATCCATTGAAGATTTTTTACTCCACATTTGAACGTTGTGTTATACATTGTTTTAATTAGTCGTAGACCTAAACATTCAACTAGAGAAATTGGTTGGCAATAATGCAGACAGTGCTAGCCTTGACGGGCCGACATTGACCATGATCTAGTGCATACCTTGACCTCTTTCGTCCGAAACCTAAGGAAGTGTGAGGATTACAGCAAGCGGTATTCTTGCGTATACTCCATGTCGAACATTCACTGAAACCCATACCCTGGCACGAATTGATGAGGCCGCAATTTGTCTGTGTGCGTCCCCATTTTGTTTGGTTCTGTAGGTGGACCCAGTGGCGGAGCTAAGTGGGGGTGCAGTGGGGGGCACGACCCCCTCCGGTCGAGAAATTCCCCTCCCCTTCGGAGCAAATTTTCCTAGCCCCCCCTTTCCGCGCAATAATTTGGAAAATCGGTAAGGACTAGTGAACGGTTTCCATCCTCACAAAGTCTCAACCACAATCTGCTATGGGATATGAGGTTGCAAGCAGACACGAGGGCGAGCACCTCAAAAACTCGAGAGTAACCCAGCGATATCGTTCATCTGCCGGCTCCATACTTCGGAATCCGAATTCTCTAACGCAAGGATCGACAACCCAAGCTCAAACAGCCTGTGCCACTCTCCACCTACCCCGAATTTCTAAACGCTACCTCCACCTAAACGCTTTGTACATCACCTCAATCCTCCACTTCACAGTCGTAGAAGACTCGGAGAATATACAATCGGCCCCATAATATTGACTTTCAATCTGATAAAACATCCTTAAACCATGAGCAGGCTGTGGGGATTCCGAGGCTTGCTATGGAGCGGTCCGGCCCCGAAATTCTTGAGCCAACCCCCGAAGCTCGAAGATGGAGCAGCTCCGCCGACCTCGGCCTCGACTCCACTGGTTACAAAGTGGAACAAGCAGGCTGCCACGGCAGCAGAAATCTGTGTGCTCCTTCTCACCGGCGACTGGAAGGGGCCAGTGGAACGCAGTTAGGCTCGGGAAGGTAAAGTGAAATACTTTGTTAATGTTATCAAAGCTCACCGCATATAGTGGTATCCTGGAAAAACACTTTCCACTAATAAAAGTGTATGTACTAGTTTCTAAGTCCAACGTTCCTCTTCCCGTGGGTCCCTGGAATAACCCTAAGTTATAACGCAGCTTCTGCGTTGAAACATTCAGGTTAGATGACGGTCGCCTTGGAATGCGTGTTAAAGAAGATAAAGCAGAGGCGTGAACTTTTTGACTTTGCAGTTGAGTCATTGACTTGTTGGCTATGTTCCCACAATAAAGATCAGAAGTATCCGGTCCAGCATCTTCACTTTCTTCTGCGGAGTAAATTGAATACAAGTAGAGGATGAGAAGTAGTACAGTATTCTGAATAACTTTCGGTTGGAGTTGAGGAATTTAATATATATATAAAAGTTTCTGGACCAGTGAGTAAAAAATGAATTACATTGTGTATTTTCTAGAAGACCTTGCAACAAAGTCAATGCCAACAATTATTGTTGGAGCTGTGTTGCAAGAAACTTTTCACTTGTAGGCAAAAGCTATTCCTAGGGTAAGGTAAAATTTTCCTACATTTACACCCATGGAGAATCCATGAATTCTAGCGGTACCAAAAGTCAGAATACCCCAAAAAAATCAAAAAACACAGGAGGAAAAAAGAAAAAAAGCATTTCCTGTAATTTGACATAACATATTTCGGAAAATATGATTTAATACCAGTGTGGTTGTCTACTGTAAATTCTGAGGGAGTTAATTAAAAAAGGATTGATATACAGGCTGCAGTAATAGAGTTCCATAAGTTCTTGCATGTGCCCACGCTCAGATCAGGTAACGGAAAGTCTTCCTTAGTACGCATTTTGAGACAATTTGCTCGCTTGAACAACAAGACAACTCCTCTGGAATCGGCGTGCCCGGCAAGGTGGTGCAGATTTGCAGATACAGCAGCAGACCTGTTTCTGGTGGCAAGATTGATGACGTGGTGAGGTTGGAACTGGTGAACAGTCTGTCATCTAACCACCACGAACTCAGCATGCTTTTTCTGTATGCATGTTCATTCATTTTAGCCTTGCAAAATTTAATTTAAACAAATCATCCAGTCCGCCATGGACTCCGAGAAAGTCAAAACACCAAAAGGTGATGCAGATTCGAGAGAGGTTTTTAGTTTCCACTATACAACTTCCAGAAAAACTCTTCTTCAGCATTGCCCACTTCAGTAAATGGCACACGATCAACTAGAGTTACATATGAGTCCGCACAACTTTGACTTGTGCAGATGGCACACGGTCAACTAAAGTTACATATGAGTCAGCACAACTTTGGATAGTACTGTATGAAGTGGATTCGGCTGCTGGACTATGAATGGTTCCTAGATTCTTTTTCATCGCCATGCATCTCCGAGCCCCATGTGACTCAAGGTGGTACAGTTATTTGTACATTGGAATCTCGAGGGTGTTGTCCGGAAAACTATATTCTCGATGTCACAACGACACATGTTTCGAAATTATATTATATCAAACTCAGAAGCTTCATAGCGCTGTCATTATTCCCACATGGTGAATAAAGTTTTACTCAGAGCTTGTCGCCGCATTCCAGAAGAACAAACATCAGGCCGTCAGTTATGTTGTAGAGTTGCTGGTGGAACACAGTTTGGAGATGTTACGTGTTTCATAGCATTCTAAATAATCATCCCCAATATCATACTTGTGCTATTTCATGCGATTCTGCTTGATTTTCACTATTCCCGTAACCCAGCAGCTTGATAATACTCACGCGTAGGAGAGAGGAAAATTCATGTGAATTTGCTTTACACAAAAGAGAGAGTACTAAAGACATGAATTAATACTTTTGCGTTTCAACCATTTTTTCAATTGAACAATGTGCTTTCATCTATTTATCTCACATGTTTGGAATTATGATATGAGCATACAAGTGCAAAAGTTGCAGACATACTTGTTTCATTTGAGTCAATATTTCAGGTATTGCAGTTTCCATGTAAGTTTGTCTTACCCTTTAGACTTCAAACGAGATGTTCATCTGGAGTTCTGAATCATTGTTCTCTAAAGTTTAGCGTAAGAGGTATTTTTCATCTCATCAATACAACAAAGTTTTTCTTCACTTGCAAGCAGATTAGAAGAACGTAAATTCTTGAGAGGATTTATGTTGACCTTAGCAAGTATCATGCTGGTTCTGTCGTGTTCTAAACGACGTGATAAACAAGCAGGACTGCTCTTAGCTCGGACGAAATCTGATTTTATTTCAATGTTTGAGGTTGAAAGACCTCAGACACTGGTGTTAGAACTGTGCATGCCTGACAGTGAAGGTAGAAGAACAATCATACCAGCACTTGAAGACCTCGTGTACTCTGTACCCATGTTTTCGACATTATGATTAGAAAAATGATTTCCCACAAAGTTTATCACTTTCTGATCCTACGATATATGCAGAGTAATGTAGACTACTGTACCGATTGTCAAAGCAAGAAAAACGCGCAAGAGACTTTACACACCAAGCTGACGACCCATGTGCCTCTCAGTTGTAAGAATACAACCACTTCTTGAATAGATCAAAGATTCTTTAAATCTCTGTGCTCAGCGTGACGACATCGAGTGTATCAGCACAGTGATGCATTCACTCAATTTTCACTTTCACTTGCACAACAAAGTCAAGATTGACTCTGACCTTCTCAGAACATTTTCCAATCACTCCGAGTATGGAGGAACACGCGTGTTGTGTTAGTATGTTGTCTTGAACTCGATCATCCACCCAATATAATGAGAGGATCTGATGAGTAAGCTGCAAATTTCTACTCCCTACGCTTCGGAGGGTCTGTGTTCCCGTGGGTGTTGATGCAGCTAGATTCCCATTCTTCCAGTCCGATTGTACATGGAGTTTTCCACAAGGTAGAGTACTTCCCATCTGAGATATCTGCGTTTCCATGCTTTCTTTGACATTCTGCATCCACATCGCACCATCTTCGATACATACCAGTTTTTTGGATTTCAGATTCACTTGCAGAGCTTTTAGCTTGTCCACTCAGTTGGGTCACCAGTGCTAATCAAACAACTCTTTTGGATTTCAGATTCACCTGCAGAGCTTTTAGCTTGTCCACTGAGTTGGGTCACCAGTGCTAATCAAACAGCTCTCTCCGTTAAACTTCACAAAAGGTTTGTTCCCCAAGAGATATGAAGTCCCCATTGCACACTCTCAACAATTTGCTTTGGAACCGGAATATTGGTTATCTGCTTTGATTTTGATTCACATCGCTTGTCCTGCCCAGCACTGAGTGCGAGCAGCGTCTTACTTCTAGTTTGCACAATATCCCTACGTTCGTGGTGATTGCTCCTGATCCGAATCCTTGCAGAGGTAAGATTAATCTTATTTATCTCTTCATGCAGGTCGCAAGAAGTGTCATGCCCAGCAGGCACAAGTTTTGACACTCCGACGGGAAGTTAATTCTCTTCGGGTGAGCCGATCCTTCGGCTTGAGGAGGGGCTCCTGAAGCCCAGGTGACATTTCGCTCGCGCATGCCAAGCAGCAAACGTTTCTTACTCTCTGAGAGTGGAGGAGAGAATGGAAGGTGCAGGTGCGTCCATCTTCAGTCACGCTGTTGAACTGGCGACACGGGAAATGGACTCCGCACACGAGGAACCGGAGCTTCCCTCCGCCGTCCAGGACCTTGTACAGCGTCTGGAAGGACAAGGCGAGCCTATAACGGAGCTTCCCTATTTAACCAACCCAGAATTTCTGGAGTTCTTTCCCTATAGTGAATCACTGTCGACAATCATAGGGTGGCGAAGCCAAGTGCGTCGTCGAGTGCTGGAGGCAATCGGCAGCTGCAACACCCTTGAGATTCTGGGTTTGCACAAGATTTGTGGGGGAGATATATCGAGGTTGACGCCAAGCGAGTGGGAGGTAGTTCTCAGAGGTTTCAGGTCGAGCACCGTTCTAGAAAAGATAATCGTTTATGGGACAGACCTTGCAGATAATGCGGATAATGAAAGCTTGTGTTTCCAGCTGGGGAGAATTCTGAATTCCTCTAGCGTAACAAAGTTAAAACTGAGTGCCATTTTGAGTGCCAGATGTCTCTCGAATCTCGCCTCAGGTCTGCGAGGACGTTCCGATTCTAAACTCAACTCTTTAGATTTAGTAGGAGCGTGGGAGGACTCGAGTGAGGTGAAGTATGTGGCTGACATGATCAATAGTGCTCCTCTATTAGAAACGTTGCGTTTAGGCGGACGTTGGGAGTACATGGAGGACGAGACCGTTGGAATCCTGTCCCAGGCTTTGATCCAGAGCTTGGCTTTGAAAGAATTTACCTTAGACAAGGCGGGGAAGTGGGGAGGGCCCTTGTTGCTGAAAGCATTGGCCGGAGACGATCGCAACCGATCCATTGAACGTCTTCGGCTCAGGGATATGGTTGGACTCGGAGACTGTTTAAGGGAACTTCTTATTTCCAACCCATCATTGAAGACAGTGGAGCTCCACCCACTTCTCATGGAGCCTGAGAAAGCGCACCAGCTCGGCGAAGCCATACGTGACAATGCCATAGCGACTACTATACTTGTTAGGTTTGATACCAGGTTTGATGAATACTGGGAGTCAGTGGAAGCTCTTGCTCGTTCTGCTAGCTCCGAAGTCAACGACCCCACTCTGGAGATTACAGTCCATGTTCATAGTGAAGATGAAGTGATGTTATCATTAAACCTATTAGGTAGAGTACTGCGCGGGGAAATCACATCTCTGAAATCTCTGAGTATATTACATCGCATTTCCAACCACAATAGACCGGAAGGTATTCTGTGGATGAACGGAAGAACTGGAGAAACTTGCGTCCTAAAGAGACTCCGATTAAGTGCTCTAAGCAAAGATGTTTGGAAGGGAGTATGGAAGGACCTGCTTTTGTGCCTGGGAGGGAACACAAGTCTCACTCACTTGGATTTGTGTGAGACCTGGCTGGACGAAGAGACGTTCAGGGACATGATGGGGCTACTCCAAGTGAACTTGAGTCTCCAGGAAATAAATGTCTCAGAAACCTCATGGGCTATAGACGGAAAGGCGGCGCTGATTCAAGAGGCACTCAAGCAGAACGAGAAGCGGGCCGCCTACATGTCCGTATTTAGAGAAGCCGGATTAGCATTTGGAGATGCAAAAGCCGGTCGACTCTTTCTATGCGGCTCTCCTCTAGCAGGTAACGTGCTCTGTAACCTCTCAGCTTTTTGAACTAGCAATCTAAGGTTTTACTTCTCCAAAATTTATCCTATAGTAAAAAAAGTTCATTTTTCTCTCTACACATATTTGGAATAGTTTAAAAAGTTTCAAAGAATTGAAGAACAATTATTTTACCATCCTAATTAATTGAGATTATAAATAATATCTATTCAATCATTTCAAAATTTGATTTGATATTCAAAATTTTTACCAATACTCTTTATCCATTTGAAATAATAGTATCAAGTAATCTGTAAAAATATCTCAAGTTATATTTGTTGTGGTTATTTGTACTCAATTTGCAGGCAAGACTCAATTGCGTCAAACCTTGATGAGGATAGTTGAAGGCAATAGTTGGCTTGGGAACAAATGGAACAAGTTGTTTAGAACTAAAGGTATCGAAGTGGAGTACTTGCAAAACAATGACAAAAGGCAAATTTCA